TGGGGTTATGAAGTGAAGAAGATCCCAAGGACAAGGCTGTAATCGTTTTGCTGAGGACAACTTTTGGGGTAAACAGCTCGATATCGTCGTGATTGATTGAATCACCAAAGCTCGCAATTTTCGAGTCGATTTACCAGTATGACGGTCGCTAAGAGGAAGGTTGGACTTCTGTTATGCTTATCAGCGGGGAAAAATTTAATGTTTACTCGTTCCTTCCCGGCCGCCTCGACTGAGATGGAGTATCAGCTGTAATTATTCAGGACGTACCTTGGCGGCTTGCAGTGCCTCGACTGATCCTGATTGTTTCAATAACTACGGACCATTCATTCCTGGATTTGAAATAGTAAGCTCTCTGGGTTGTTCTTGATGATGTTATGATCGTGACCTTTAGATTTTCATCAGAGTTTATTTGTGAGTGATCCGATTAGGTACCGTATAACGACGTCGATTCTTTGAAGAAGCTGCTGGAAAGCAACCCGAATATTGCAGGTTTTTATGTTGAACCTATTCAAGGCGAGGCCGGCGTTAACGTCCCAGATGACATCTATCTCCCTGCTGTGCGCGAGCTTTGTACGAAGTAGGGCTTCTCGATGCTCCTACGACGGCTGACATCACGTTGATATAGGCACAACGTGCTCCTGTGTTGTGATGAGATCCAGACTGGCCTTGCTCGCACTGGAAGATTGCTGTGTTGCGACCACTGGGGTGTCCGTCCTGATCTTGTGGTAGGTTTTGATCAAATAGAGATATGTGTCGGAAATGCTTGTCAAGGTTCTGGGGAAGGCATTGAGCGGGGGCATGTACCCCGTATCTGCCGTCTTATCGAGTGACGAGATTATGCTCACTATCAAGCCGGGACAGCACGGATCAACGTGATGCATCGCTATGTGAGTAACTCGGTAACCGTCATTTTGTAGTTACGGTGGTAATCCGATCGCTTGTCGTGTTGCAATGGAGGCTCTTTCTGTTATCAAGGACGAAGGTTTGGTTGAGAGAGCGGATCGTTTAGGCAAAGTGTTCCGTGGTAAGCTCGAGGAAGGCATCGGACACATGAGCTGGGTTAAACAAATTCGAGGTGAGGAAGGATTGAGGCGTGTCCAATTCCATGGCGTTCGCTTAGGTAAAGGGTTACTCAATGCTGTTGTATGTGATGACACTTTTCGCGACAAGGTTAAGGCTTGGGATGTAGGTTGGAGCGCTCTCTTGCTTTCACTACTGAGTTATCTAGGTCTGTCTGGCCCTCCGCGATGCTGGTCTCCTCGCCAAGCAAACCCATGATAATATCATAAGATTCGCGCCGCCCTTGGTCATCCCTGAGGTAGGTTGACTTGGAGGTTGTTGTTAGTGTACAGAGTCTCTTAGGACTCTTTGAGGCAGGCGTGCGAGATCATTATTGAAGTGTTCAAGAGTTTTGATGCTAAAGTTGTTGGAGCGTAGAGCACCTGCGAGTGTGAGTAACCATGGAATGTCACATCTTTTTTGATTGAATCTCTCTTTGTTTCCTTATCTATGAATATGTGATAGTGTTCGACTAGAGTATGCTTAGTTAAGTAGGAGTTCATCCTGTAGAGGTGATGAAATTGTCATCCGGGGAAATCCAACCGATCTGAACATAAATCACAAATATCTACCATCAATACGGCGAGACGAATGCGTTTCACGAGCTTAACGTCGCCATTACATGATGTTGTATATATTCCCATAGCAATATGTTCAACACACCAGCACCACACAAACGAAATTACACTGTACAGTGTTCAAGGCATCACGTAGGCAACAGCCTCATCACAGGACACCATATGGTTCTTGTCCTCATCGGGAATTCCCAATCCACATTATTTGAAATATGCATCTTATTTACTCGCATATGTAAACTTCTGAACCGTGGACATAGCGGCCCCTCCCCTATTCGGCCGCCCTAAATAGATCTCTGAATGGTATAGTCCATAGCGGGGGGCATAGCGGCCCCTCCCCTATTCGGCCGCCCTAAATAGATCTCTGAATGGTATAGTCCATAGCGGGGGGCATAGCGGCCCCTCCCCTATTCGGCCGCCCTAAATAGATCTCTGAATGGTATAGTCCATAGCGGGGGGCATAGCGGCCCCTCCCCCTATTCGGCCGCCCTAAATAGATCTCTGAATGGTATAGTCCATAGCGGGGGGCATAGCGGCCCCCTCCCCCCTATTCGGCCCCAAATTGGGGCCCCCAATACCGAAGGGTATCATTGTGAAAGATCCTCTTCCCATTGCGAGACCCTCCGTCTCGCTATCACCCGTGTGTGTACTGGTGTCGAGTCTTCAGTGGTGATACCGGCGTCCGGGCCACTTCAGAAGGGAAAGCTTCTTTCCGCACGACGCTGATCTGGGAAAGTGCACTCAACTCGCCGCTCGAAGTATCTCCCAGTTCTCGCGCAAAGTCAATTTCCATGGTGCGTCGCATAAATTTCTACCGCCTGAATTTGGTTAGCGGCATACTCGATCGTGTGATACCATTCGCGTCTGCCAGCGCGTCTTCAATGTAGTTGCTGAATATGGCACGCCTCAAACTATCCTGCCTACTACTAGCGGGGCTGTTCTCGAGTCTCAGCCTCGTTATTGGAGGCCCACGACACAGCCGCCCTCGTTTTGATATTGAGCAACTGGATTACCAATCCAAGCCCAATATAGAATTGATCAACGGCGAACGTATTCCTGATGGTTCTACCTTCCTCGTCGGGGTTCCTATCAACAAGGCGACTTGTGTGAGTCATTGAGATGACCGTTTTGAATCGCACGCGCATAGTAGTGATGGGATGCTGCTGTACTTCAGCTCCTTGTCGCCATAACAAGCTACGGTTTGGTGACGAAACCCGCGCATCCGACCTGGGTTTACTTATACAATGTTGAGGTCCGCGAGGATTGGAGAAGGAAGGGCATTGCAACGGCGATGATCGAAACGCTACTCGCACGCGTAAGCTTCCTAAATTTTGCCTCTAGCCTCCGAAAGTTCTGCAGATAAAATCTACATGGCAGCATATCACTGGGGTGTATCTGGGAGTAATGGATGATAATTGGCCGGCCAAGGGTCTTTACAGCAAGATAGGATTTGTTCATGAAGGACAGGTATGATATGCGCGAGTGAAGAACTATGTTCTCTGACTGTTTACTCTCAGATATATTTCCAAAACGAGACCATACCCACCCTTGGGTATGTCTATCGCTTCAATTCGGAAGCAGCCCGCAATTTACCGCAGAACCTGCTGGAACCCGAAGTAGAGTTGATTCCCACATCTGATGATAGAGGTCACAGACTGTATGATGCGATATTCGTCCCCGCGATCGATCGCTCCGCCCAAAAATTGATGTTATGAACTACATCGGTCGAATCATTTGCATCCCTCATGGCTGTTGAGATTTTGTTGATGTGTTCCTCTCATTGTCCATCGTCAAGTGATGTTGTGTGCCAGAGTATCAGGATCGATTCATTGAGTGGCTTCCCTCACTCAAAGAGCCCTTCCTCAGCAGTCCTGAAGGGAGGCTCTTGGACAGAGTGTCATATTCCTGACTGTCAGGGCTATTAAATGCGTCCTCGGACTCCCGAATATAGGCACCTACCAACCTGAACCACGATCGATTATCATTCGGTGCAACCATCGACATCGTACGACAGTTCAAGAATGAACGCCTCCACCCGAGGATTCGCAATATGCGAAGATATCGTTCCCTGTTAGATTCAATTACGGAACGTATTCACTGATCAGCTGTCATTGTTATGATACAAACAGAGGTAGCATATGCGGGAATTTATTAGTCCGTATGAGCACTTGCGTACTTAGTTCAACTCGATAAGATGGTGAGTTGTGGAGCAGATGATCGAAGGTTCAGATCCTGCATCGGGTATTTTCTTATGATTGTTGGCGGTTTCAACAGCGTGAGGACGGAACATCCTGTGGATGACTATATTCGCTAACGCGAACAGCCTACATCATTGTCGCAGCCATCATTGACCATCGACTAATGCCAGTTACCCAACACAGACTAATAGACTAATAATCTCGTCGATTACGGGGAAGCTCCAAGTCGGAGACCCGCCGACCACAACCAAGGGCCTATTTCACAAGAAACGCTCCTTAAGGTGCACCTTGAATTTAGGAGCAAGGAGCAAGGAGCCTTACACCTTACGCGAGGTGCTTTCACTTCAGTTGCTCCTCATGCTCCTTATGCGCCTAAATTTAAGGTGCACCTCGTGGACCCCAATAAGGAGCACGAGGGGCGCCTAAACCCATACCGGCGCGCATCAAAAAATCGACACAGACTGTGTCACACAGTGCTTCAATAGAGTTCTCTCAAGAGGGCTATGGTAAGCCGCTTGCACTGACCCGTACAACTACTACTATGGACGCGGAAAACTTGAATGAACACTGTGATATTGCCCCTTGTACGATACAGTAATGGTGTTGTTTACCTTCGTGAATAAGGTCTGTGTCCACTTTTCTAGTAAAGATACGAAGATATCCAGGTCAGAATCCGTAAATGAGGGTATGGTTATTTCTACCACAAACTCAACAACACTATCATGAGCTTATCTGTGAACAATCGGCCGTTGTCGATATTTGTTATACGCCAAGTCGAATATGCGGTAAAAATGCACGGTTCAGGGATAGATCATCCGCGGGTGAGACGCGCGGGCTATCGGGAATAAGCGGAGCGGAGCTCGCATAAAATGGTGTTATGTTCATACTTGAACGCGGCAGGCTCGGAAGGGGGAAACGAAAGATAAAACCCGGACTTCCGGAGTGACGTCCTTCCCGTGACGCCGATGGCGCGTCACGTCACGACGGAGCGGGACTCACGGAAAAGTGTAGGAGTGATCCGAAAAGTGCGGTCACGGAAAAATGGAAATAGCGATACACAGAGCAGCATTCCACATCAATGGTAAGGAGGGTGCGATAAGGTGCATAAAGTACCCCCCGAGCAGTCTTACGGCACCTTACGTAAGGATCGCAAGGAGGGGCCCAAAAATGCCTCCTATGAAATCGCCTTACATGAGGAGGCCCTCCTCGCCCCTTGTAGGGTAAGGAGCCTTACGGTGAGGAGCCTTATGCCACCTTACCTTACGCCAACCCCCCAAATCGTAAGGATGTGAAAGCGACTTGCCATGAAACCGTAAGGTACCTTACAATTTTTGCTCCTTATGAGGGCTTGTGAAATAGGCCCCAAGTTAAAGACTGACGTTTCAAATCATCCACACTGTGGATGATTTTAGTGAAACGCTCGGGCGAGTGCTCCCTACGAATCTTGGACTAACCAGGAGCACAGTCAGGATTAATGTTTGTCGGCTCGCACAGACTGTTCACTGCAGGCTTCATACCATTTCAATGATGCGCATCCCCATCGCCCTACTCGTCGTCACCTTTTCTGGTGCTTCGGCCTTCTCCACTGCTCAATGCGACGCTGACTGCGCTGGCACTTACCCTGGGTCATACTGCAAGTACTGGAAGAACCCTAGCGTTTGCTTTGGCTCGGATGTTCCATGCAACTGCGGCACGAGCATATCCCCTGAGACTCCTCGTGATTGCGATGTGGGTTGTGCCTTGGATACTCCCGGCTCGTACTGTAAGTACTGGAAGACTCCAAGTGTTTGTCATTCGTCCAATGCGCCATGCACTTGCGGGGCTCCCACGACTCCTGAAATCATCACTGAGGAGGTTTTGGTCAGTACGACAGCGCCAATTGAGAGTCCTGGACGTGAGGGGGTTGAGGGGACCATCTCGTCTGTGGCTACACATACCGCCGACATTATCACCTCTACGGCATCAATCACAAGTGACTCCTCAGGAGTAGAGGGTGGGGCTATCGAGTCAACCACGGCAGCCGTCGTAACCGATGAGGTTGACGTCACAACTGTGCCTGGTGAGTCGCCTGGCCTTGAACAGGAGGATGACGAGGTTTCTACAACAACCGAAGGTATGGTGGTCACCACTACGATAGCGCCAGCTGCCGCAGTCACCACGACCTTCTCGACCACTTCTACTGCGGCTCCTGTAACTGATGAGATTCCAGTTACTACTGGAGCTGGGGAACCGTCTGGTAGAGACAAGGATGAGACTGCTGCTACGACCTCCACATCCGAGCTGATGACTGTCACGATTGCCGATACTACGGCTAATTCTATCATTGAGACGACCACTGCTATTGTCTCATCAACCCCAACGGTGACTCCTGCGCATACTTCACCATCGGTGGTCACTGAGGATGCTCCAGTTACCACTACTGTCGATGGCTCGGATGGTCGAGACCAGATGGAAGTGACCAGCGCACCTTCCACTACTGAAGTCTTTTCTACGGTCGAGGTGACTTCTACTGACACCTCTGCTGTAACACCCACTACTGCAAGCGCCACTACCGGTGTCTCCGCCACTGCTGAGGTCACCACTGCCCCCCTGCCGACCTCCGCCTTGGTCACTGGGGCTGTCACTACTGTCGACCCGAGTCCCTGAATGCCGTTCTAGAATGAAGCTCTCAAGTGTTCACTGCCGCATTGCGGCTCAGCGTGATGCTTTTATACCGTATGGTCAAGTATCGTGATATTGGCATTGTTTGTTGGGTTTTCGCGTTAATACCAAGAGAGAAGTAGAACTACGAGTCTTTCCATCATCTAGAACGATGTTAATCCTCTGGTATCAGTCCACCCGGCAATGCGAGTTCACACGCCTGAGCGGATGTCACGCGGAAAAGCACCGTCTGCGGCCCATCGTCTGGGGCGCGTATTACCTCTGGGTTTCTCTCGGATTAAAAATCGTGCATATTACACCCCTTTTGATGCACGCGGATAGTAACTAACACTTCTGCTGGAATATGACTTTTCGCGCGCTGTGGTTGAGATTAAAAACGTCATCTCGCTGTAAGGGTGGATACAATTCATCAATTGAAACTGGGTGTCATCGAATGGGCAAGAACGCTGTTCAATGAGTCCACGCTGACGCTTCTGACAATTCGTCTGCTGTTTGCTCACTGACTGGGAGAACATACACTTCTCGAGGATCAGCGCGCGTCTTCGGGCGTTTATGTGATAGCAAACGCTCGAAATCTTCTCGTTTCCACGCGAAATCAACTTCCACGATGCGTGGCATCGTAACGGATTTCCAATATCCTTCGAGTTAGCCGAACACCGTTTGATCTCATGTAGAACGTAAGATTGATAACAGCTTGGGAGATCCATGTGAAGTTCAATAGTGGCGAACTAGCATACTGGCTCGATGCTACTAGATGCACAGCAACATGACAATAGTGAGAGAATTATGGAGGACAATCCTTTTTTCGTCTTCGGGAGACCACATCATTATCGAAATCCGCTGAATCCAGAACAGCATCACGATTGACCGCTCAGCTCCGGTCAGTCGTGCGTTAAGTTTTTCTCCCACGAAATTCCTTTCATCATTGGAGTTTCACCCGTTTTACGTGGAATGGCGTGAAACTCAGTGAAACACGCGATATTCGCGGTGATATGCAGTGGCCGTGAAATATGTCTTTCACTAGTGTTTTTCATATCACGGTCGTGAAACTCCATTGTAGTTACCTACTATGGTGCGCATCAACCTTTCCATCCTCCTGTTCACAGAGGTATTCCTGAGGCTCAGCCTCGGTATCGGAAGCCTACAACCCAACGCTGCTCCATTCGATCTTTCCCAACTTGAATATACTTCCGAGCCAACCACACTAGTGGTCAACGGCGAGCACATGCTCGATGGCGCGGCCTTCCACGCCAGGTATCCTATTTCTAGAAAGGCGGATGTGAGTTATCCAGGGGGCACCTCATATATATCGTTCTGTATAAGCCTTGAATGCACGTTACTCATATATGTGGAACGAGCCAGTAGTATCCATCGAATACGACATACCTACATGGTATGTAGTACATGCTAAATTATCCTGTACTCACAGCTTTAAGGAGTCACGAATCTTGGATGGCTTTCTCCTCCAGCGCCTAGGTCACTCGTGCCCATTGCTCATATACCAATGCAAGCAATGATGCAACATGAACGTTTCAGTGTTCGTCAGGTTCTTGTCGCTAGTCTGGGCTATGGTATTGTGAAGAAGCCCGCATATCCTTTCTGGGTGTATATATATGATCTCAAAGTAGATGAAAATTGGAGGAGGAAGAAGATCGCAACTGCGATGATCAGAACGCTACTTGGAAACGTAAACTCTCTGGAGTTTCCCTTCACTTCCCTGACGGTTTTGTAGATCAAGGAAAACTGGCATCCGAAAATTCCCGGAGTCTACCTAGGAGTATTGAGCGACAATGAGCATGCCATAGCTCTTTACGAGAAAATAGGTTTCGAACTAGAAGGACAAGTACGTTACATTCGGGAGACTTGTGAATAGTGCTTTCCGATGATTTATAGATATACTTCCAAAACGAGACCGTCCCCACCCTCGGATACGTCTATCGCTTCGATTCCTCGTCAGCTCGCGACCTACCCAAGCGTGTTCTAGACCAGGACATAGAGCTGAACCCCACGAGTGACCTTGTAGGTGAACAACTGTATGATGAATTGTTCGTCTCCGAGATCGATCGTTCTCCCTCTACATT